AAATAATCACATTTACCTCTTTTATATTAGCACTCCAACAGCCACTTTTGTTTATTCTGGTTTATTTGTTACTACTTTAGACTATGAATGTTTAACTATTTCCTTTAGTAGTACTATACTGAGGCACCCTTATATTTTCTTTTGGAAGTCAGGCATAACCCTTCAATAGATTAATCTGTAGAATATTTTACTTTCAACACAGTAAGTATTCATGTATAATCCCTATATTTGATCTACCCTTCCCCCAGAAAAAATAAGTGCCTTGGCTTTAAAATCTATTATAAATTTTCTGTTTTGGGAATAATTTAATAAAGGAGTGGCCATCTGACCATTTGTCTCTAGGAAAACCTGGGGTTCTGTTCACTTTTAAGTCTAAAATAAATGTCACATTATCAGAACGTTACCTGAGGTAGTTTTGGTGTTGGCTGAAGAAACAAGGCTAGTGAGGTTAACAACCTCTCCCGATGTAAAGATGAATGGAGCAGCCACAGTCACAGGATTACTCACAGGGTGGGGTCTCTCAGGATTAGCATTCACCTGATTCTGCATTGCTGCCTACCAAACAAGGCAGGATATTTCAATGTCAGAATAGTTATTAGCCTTAGTTATACAGTTACTGAACAGCATACTCCTACCCCCACGCCAGCCAATGCTCTATCAAGCAGAACTAGTTCCGGCCCACAGTGTCCCAGGGAGCTCAGAGTTCTCATTAAGACTACCGGTTTTTCCATAGGAAGCATAGAACTAAAGAAGGAAAAAAAAAGACTATCGGTTTTTTCAAACCAGGGCAAAAGAGATGTGAGGTTGTTTTCCCAAACTTGTTTCTACTTGAGAAAATCAAAGGTGTATTATTTGCAAAAACTTCTAGACAATTCAGTTAATCTCTCTGGATCTTCTTTTTTTATTTGTTTGTTTGTTTGTTTGAAAAATGAGAGACTTGGCCTGAATAGTCTAAAAAGTAATTTCCAATTGTGATCAATTATCTACAAGTCAATGTGCTAGCAGGAGATCCCTGCAGAGTACCCACAGAGAACAATTATTCTCCAGAGTTTTGTCCAACTACTTGTTCCATTCTGCCATTGAAGAAATTCCTAAGAGAATATATAACAAGCAAATAAATAAGTGCCAGATTTTAAGTCTGGTTCCACATGCTACACTTTTGCTTCCAGGGATATTTGCTCCATTTTGGTGAAAAGATACTTATCTTTATTTAATTTTTTTACTTTCAGAAGCAGTTTTCTAGAAATATGATGACTACTAAAAAAGTCCAGTTACGAAAGGGCTCTAAATAAAGAATTTGAAAGTTGAAGAG